GGGAGAGAAGTGCTCAGATTCTCGGGCACCTGGCCAGTCCCCCCAGGCTGCCCAGCTCCCCGGCTTCCTCTGTAAGACAGGTGAGCAGCACTCGACCCAACCTCGCGGCGGACCGCTGGGACCATGGGGGCCAGGACATGTGTTCGGGGGTTGGCTTTGAGCAGTCCCTCAGAGCTGGCCGGCGCGGGCTTCTGGGGGCCAGCGTGTGCGCGGGCGGGGCCGGGTGGCCAGAGTCTTTGAGAAACCTTCATGTTACATAACCACTCTCAGAAAACTAAGGAACAAATCCCGAGTCACTGGCACTCGGCAACAGGGGAGGGACAGCGGCCCGTTCAGCGAAAGCCTAAACGCAGCTCGGAGGGTTCCAGGATTCTGAATTTTCCACAGCGCGGCGGCTTCTGACTGCGCCGAGACACCTCTGGTGCGACAGTCGGGCCACGCCCTCCCGCCCGCCCGCCCGGCCCACCCGGTCCACACTGGCTCCCGGCTCCACGCCTGCCCGCCCCACGCCCGCCCCACGCCCGCCCCGTGGCCCCTGGAACCGGGAGGAAAAGTGCCAGGTGAGTTTTCCTCCGAAGAAAGAAGCCGGGGCCTTGAGGCCTGCCCAGCCGCCCAGCGGCCTCGGCTCCACGCGGTGCCAGGCCGAAAAACCCTTTCTCAAAAGGTAGCTACAGAGGCCCCCCAACACCCCCCGGGGGCACAGCGGGTCACAGCGCAGCACTGTGAAACTACCCCAGCCCCGGCAGCAGGAGTTCGAGCCCCGGCCAGGGAGGAGCCCCCGGGGCGCCGCGGACCTCTCCTGTCTCCCGCTAACCCCCTCTGCAGTGGACTTCGTCCATCAGCCTGTTCTGCTCCCCGCTCTGTCTCTGGGGAGTCCTCTCACCCCCGTACCTCTGACCTGCACCCCGGTTCTGTCTGCATAAATAACATAAATCTTATTTATTTTGTTATTTTATAGATTTATTTATTTGTGCAGACAGAACTGGGGTACAGACCAGAGGTGCAGGGCG